TTTTGGGTTTTTTATTTTTTATGATACAGAGTTGGAGAGGCACATGTGCAAGCAGGCTTTCAGCCTGTGCCGCAGCTCAGGTCGGAAGGTGATGTGATTTGATCACAGTAGGGACGTCCTGAGCTTGGGTTAGAGGAAAGAAGTGGGAAAAGCAAAGACACGGTTAGGGAGGGAGGCCTGAAGCTTGGGAGGCAAGGCAGAGCTGAGCGCTCCTCATAGTGGGGAGACACTTACCGGGTCCCTCAAGGTTCCCTTCCCAGGGACCTTGAGGGACCGCCCTTCCGGGCAGCCACTGCCCTAAGACCATGAATTTCCCACCTTCCCAGCTTCCCTCTCCTCCCCTGTCAGAAACAGCAGACCCTTTCATCACTGTTCAGAATATCGGGAACAGAAACCACAACTGCAGGCACCTTTCAGAGCGCGGCTCAGCTCTCAGGTAGAGGTGGGGACACTGAAGCTATGTTTCCTTTTCCTAATGTACTTCTTTTTATTGTTGTCCTTTAATTGTTCTGATTTTCTCCTTTCCTGGGTGGTGGTGGTGGGAGGGGAGGGGAGGAGGAGTCCCCTGCTTGAAAAACAAGGTAATTTAACTTTGAGAGCTAAGCCATCAGAAGCTAGGAGATCAGAACCTTCTCCATCACATAGCCAGCAGTGACACAGTGACGTATGCAAAGTAATGGTGATATTTCTCAATTTGTTATTGGTAAAATTAGGAAGCTAATCTTTATCTAGCTTATTAAGGAAGCAGATAATCATAGTTTTAAAAGTGTGTGTGTGTGTGTGTGTGTGTGTGTGTTTTGTTTCCTTTGTAAAGCAAGTGTACTTTCCACGCAGGTTACCCTGCTATATGTTTGCAGTGGTTTGGGCATCAGTGAGAGGTAACTGTTTTGGGGGAGGTGGCACTTTCAGTGCTGCTGATTGAACAGAAACTATGGAAGTCAGCAGCTGCTTTCTAAAAAAGATACGTCTTGGGCTTCATTTCCCAAATAGCGTATCTGCTGTCTGACAGATTGACTCATAAATATTCCCTAACATTTCTCAAGCAAAGGGATGAAACACATCTGTCACTGCACAGAGATCTCCCAAACGACCCTTTTGTGTCTTCTTTCCCCTTCAGACTGCTCTTGATGCTAAAAGCTAATTTTATGTCTCTACCATGGTGAAGGGATGGGGAGAGGGTGAATATACAGTGTGAGATGCCCTAGTCCTGAATCTCTAAAGATGACACTGACGGGGAAGCTTGACTTACAGAAGCACACCTGGGAGATAATCTACCAGGATTAATCCTTACAGGAGATGCAACTGGATGTGTCTAAAAACAACAAAATGCAGGTCACGAAGCCAGAAGAAAATACAATAGTGTCAATAAATGAGTTAGCAGAGCATGCAATAGCAACGAGAAGATAAAGGGCCAGTCAGATTCTGTGGATGGAAACTGTTTACTATTCAGAGAACAATATTAAAATAAAGAAGGAAATTTCCTATAACTGGGGAACATTCGGGATATCTGCAACAAGCTATCACTTGATTTGATCTGTGACAGTAAGTGATAAAGCGCCCAGGACTAAATTAAGAAGTGTCCTTTTCTAGTCAGGCCCCTACTCACTGAAGAATTCTTAAAATTCATTCCTAATCCCAGCTCCAGGCGACCACTAATTTTTCTATCACTATAGATTTGCCTTTTCTAGAAATTCCATATAAGTGAAATCATACAACGTTTGGTCTTATTTGACTTAGTCTCATATGTCTGATGTTCAGCTGTGTTGTAATATACACTGATTGGCCAGATTATTATGACTACCCCATCAGTGCTTCATTGACACTTCCAAAAATACTGAATATTGAAAACTTCCTAAGCAAATACTCTCAAGGTTTTATTATTATTATTATTATTATTATTTGCATAACTAATTTACTTCATTGTACTGATGGGTTGGTCATAATAATCTAGCCACTCAGTGTATATCAGTACAGCTAGTCCCTGACTAATGGTGGCTCAGCTTACTATTTTTTGACTTTGTGATGGCACAAAGCAATATCCATCCAGTGGATGCTATACTTTGAATTTTGATCCTTTCTCAGGCTAGCAATTCAGGATAGGGCAAAAGTAGGTTTACAGTTGTGAGTATGTGAAACAGAGTTTATTCTTGTATTATTATTTATTTATTAATTACTGTATTATTTTCCATACGAACAACTGTACCTACTTTTGCTTCACCCTGTATGTGGTATGACAGTCTCTTGTGCTGCTAGGCAGCAAGTCACAGCTCCCAGTCTGCCACGTGATCATGCAGGTAAACAACTGACACTCTACAGTGTACCGTGTTGCCACCATTTTGGGGGTATTGTGTTTTGCATCCCATCATGGCTACAAAATGCCCATTTGTATCTCCTGCTTATGGTGAAAAAAGAGGAAGGCAATTACTGTCGAGATGAAACTCAAAATAATTGCCCAACTGTAGGCTAATATAAGTGTTCTTAGCACATTTGATATACCAGTAGGCTAGGCTAAGCTGTGATGTTTGGGATGTAACCCCATCATACATTGAGGAGCAACTGTAGTTCTTTTTATGAAATTCTTATTTATTTTTATTGTTGAAAGTATTACAGATATACCCCTCTCGTTTTGCCCCCATCGACTCCCTCCAGGCCTTTACCACACTATTGTCTATGTCCATGGGTTATGCCTATCCTATATAATAAAAGCCTAATATGCAAATCCACTGTATGGTGGAATGACCGGTGGAACGACCAGTCGCTATGACACACACTGACCACCAGGGAGCAGCTGCTCAATGCAGGAGCTGCCTCCAACCCATAGGCCCCAGGCCAGCCAAGGCGGGTACCAGCGGGCCCCCCCCCCATCACCCTGCAGGTCACCCACAGAGGGAGGTGACCAGTGCTGGGGGCAGGGAGTGGGGCCGGTGAGTGGGTGGCACCAGGCCAACCAAGGTGGGTGCCAGTGGGGCCCCTCTGATTGCCCTGCCAGTCACCCCACAGATCTGCCTTGATCGTGGGCCAGGCTTAGGGACTCTACCCGTGCATGAATTTCGTGCATTGGGCCTCTAGTATGCACATAAGTTCTTTAGTTAATCTCTTCCCTCCTCCCTTCCTTCTGAGATTTGTCATTCCTTTTAATGGCTAATAGTATTCTGTTGTTTGGATGTACCATATTTTTTTACCTATTCACCAGACAGTAGATATTTGGATTTTTTTGTACTTTTGGCTATTATGAATAATGCTGCTATGCACATTCATGCACAACTTTTTGTGTTGACATATAAGTAATTATTTCCTGAGAGTAATGCCTTTGTAATGTTATAAAGGTTTATTTCATAATTATGTCTTCTTATAGTAAGTCAAATGCTGAAATATCTAGTTGCAATAGGAGGGTAGTGATGTACAATAAAAAATGAGAAATATTGCCCCCAAGTGAACTACAATCATGTGCTTCATAATGACCTTTCAGTCAATAATGGAGGTCCTATCCTATATAATAAAGAGGTAATATGCAAATTAACCCTCATGCCCTCACAAGATGCCTGCCTACGACCAGGCTGGCAAGGGGGTTAGGGAGGGATGACCAAAAGACTGAACAGCAGGCTGCAAGGGGCGACCAGGCCGGTAGGGGGTTTAGTGAGGGATGATCAAATGACTGAACAGCAGGATGCATGGGGTGACCAGGCCAGTGCGGGGGCCATGAGGGGCAACTAGGCTGGCAGGAGAGGCAGTTGGGGGCGACCAGGCCAGCAGGGGAGGCAGTTAGGGGTGACCAGGCTGGCAGAAGGGGACAGTTGGGGGCGACCAGGTGGCAGAGGGGGCAGTGAAGGGCGACTAGGCTGGTGGGGGGGCAGTTGTGGTGACCTGGCTGGCAGGGGGGGCAGGTAGGGGTGACCAGGCAGGCAGGCAGTTGAGCAATTAGGAGCTAGCGGTCCAGGATTGTGAGAGGGATGTCCGACTGCCGGTTAAACCTAAGCCAGCAGTCGGACATCCCCCAAGGGGTCCCAGATTGGAGAAGGTGCAGGCTGGGCTGAGGGGACCCGCCCCCCTGCACGAATTTTGTGCACCGGGCTTCTAGTAAGATCATAATAGAGCTGAAAAATTCCTATTGCCTAGCGATGTCCTAGCAGTCTGATTGTCCTGCCGCAATGCATTGCTTGCGTGTTGGTGTAAACATACTTGCTGCACTGACAGATAAAAGTATAGCACTTACAGCTATGTAAAATATATGATACTTGATAATGATAAAAAATAACTATGTTACTGGTTTATGTATTTACTATACTATACTTTTAATCATTATTTTAGAGTGTACTCTTTATACTTATAAAAAAATTTTTGCTGTAAAACAGGATGTCACATTATGCCAGCAGCAGCCTCATGCATCTTGTATTTACTGTGTCTCTTAATTGTTCCTTTTCTCTTGTGCTTGATTTAATATCATGTTGTTGTTTTTCATCACGGCCCCTAAGCAAATAAAATCTACTGCTAATCTTGCCAATAAGAGGTGTTTAGTGATTGCCCTGGAAACAAAATTAAAAGTGATTGACTACAAAGTTGGAAAATCAGTAATGGTTGTTGCTTGCCAGTCAGGCATATCCCACTTCACCATCACTAGACTCTTGAAGAACAAGAACAAAGTGACAGAAGCTGTTAAAGATCTACTTCATTAAAGACAATGAGACTAACAAAATTTGAGAAGGGCCTAGGACAGACGTGGCCTGGATTGAAGACCGGACACAGAAGTTATCCCTCTCAGCACCATGATGGTCGTGGTCAAAGCAAAAAATTTGTTTGCAGTGTTGAAAGAAAAGGCTGGACCCAACTACAGTGTTGAGTTTACTGCTAGCTCTGGGTGGCTTAAACAAGTTACTTAAAAAGTTTAAAAACATGGACCCAATACCAAAAGGTTTTCATTAATAGAAAAGAATAATTATGAGGCACTATCTGCTTATAAGCAAATCTATGATGGGAAGAAGAGACAAATCAAGCAAACCACCATGGACATATTTCTGAAAAGGTTGACACCTCCTCAGAAAGAGCCTCAGGCAGACCCTTCAGGAGGTTTGCCATGATAGCTCCGTGTGCCTCACTGCCCCTGCACACCTTCTGGGGGGCAAGGTGTGCAGGTGGAAGATAGTGATATTCCTGATACTGACCCTGTAATAGGCCTAGGCCTGTGGTCAAACCGTGACTCGCGAGCCACATGCGGCTCTTTAGCCCGGTGGCATGGGCCATGAAGTTTTAATCGCACTGTGCGTGCACGCCCGCACGTGGTATTTTGTGGAAGAGCCACACTCAAGGGGCCAGTTTGCCGACCACTGGCTTAGGCTAATGTGTGTGTTTGTGGTTTAGTTTTTAGCAAAAAAGTTCGAAAAGTGAAAAACAAAATTTTTAAGTAGAAAAAAGCTATAAAACAAGGATAAAAGAAAGAAAATATTTTTGTACAGCTGTAAAATGTGTTTGCTTTATTATTACAATAGTCAAAAGCTAAAAATTTAAAAGTTTATAAATTAAAGAAGTTACAGTAAGCTAAGATTAATTTTTTATTGAACAAAGAATACATTTTTATATAAACTTAGTATAGCCTAAGTGCACAGTGTTTATAAAGACTATAGTATGTACAATAATGTCCTAGGCTTTCACATTCACTCACCACTTACTCACTGACTCATCCAGAGCAACTTCCAGTCCTGCAAATTCTATTTACAGTAAGTGTCCTTACAGGTGTTCCATTTTAATCTTTTTTTTTTTTAATCCTCACCCAAGGATATTTTTTCCATTGGTTATTTTTTTTCTTTTAGAGAGAGTGGAGGGGAGGAAGAGCGAGGGAAGAGAAACATCGATGTGAGAGAGACACATCGATTGGTTGCCCATCCCTCCCCCATACTCTGACCGGAGCTAGGATAGAACCTGCAACTGAGGTACGTGCCCTTGACCAGGAGTCAAACCCACGACTCTCCAGTCTAGAGGCCGACGCTCTAACCACTGAGAAAAAACTGGCCAGAGCCCATTTTAAATCTTTTATACTGTATTTTTATTGTACCTTTCCTATATTTATATATGTTTAATTACTTTGTATTGATTTGAGAGAGAAATGTCAATTTGTTGACCCACTTATTTATGCATTCATTGATTGCTTCTTATATGTGCCCTGACCAGAGATAGAACCTATAACCTTAGCAAATCATGACGACACTCTAACCAACTGAGCTACCTGGCCAGGGCTGTTTAGATACACAAATAGCATTGAGTTACAAACTGCCTATAGGATTCAGTACGGTCACATGCTGTAATACGTTTGTAGCTTAGAAGCAGTAATTGGTTATACTATGTAGCCTAGGTATATATTAAGCTATACCATCTAAGTTTCCGTGCACTCTATGATGTTCGCATAATGACAAAATCACCTACCAATGGATTTCTCAGAACATATCCCCACTGTTAAGCAACTAATAAATGTATATATAAATATTTAATTTTTGAAGAAGGACTATAAAATTAACATTGAGTATAACTTTATTTTTTTAGGTGCTCCAATTTTACTTCAAGAATTACAGCCTGAAGAAGAGTTACAATTGTGGAATGAGGTAAAGAATTACCCTCATATAAATTAGTGGAAATTATACCCTTCTTTGAACTTATAGTAAAATGAAATAATATAATTGAAATTTGGGACAGCTATAATTTTACTAACATTCTGATATTATAACATTTACAATTATAATTTTTATTAAATAAAAGAAGGAAAAGTGAAAAGAAACAAAGTAAGGTGGCAGAAATAAGTCCTCATAAGAGTAATTTTTTTTTTCATAAGAGTAATTTTTTAAAAAGTGGGCTAAAATACACACTTAAAAGAGCTTCTCAGATTGTATTTTTTTTTAAAAAAAGAGTTAGCATATGTTATCTATAAAAGGTACATTTGAAACAGAAAACAAAACAAGAAAAGGCTAAGCATAAAAGGGTGGAAAATGATGTGCCAAGCAAATATGAATGGCAAGAAAATTGGAGTAGCAATCTTATATCTGATAACATCAAAGTAAATGAACAAACTGTTATAACAAAGAAGAATGTTATATGCTAATAAAAGAACAAACATAAAGATACATTCATCATTAACATATATTAACAAAACAACCTCAAAATTTATTTAACAATTGATAGAACTTCAGGGAATAATAGGTAAATGAACAGTTGTAGTTAGAGACTTTAATATACCTTTCTCAAAACAGATAGTTAAAACAGATAACACATAAGTAGATATATCAAAGACCTAATCATAAAATTAATAAATTTGAGCTATTATATTTTTAAATCCTGCACTAAATAGTATACACATTCTTTTCTAATATAATTGGACATTAACAAAAAATAGACCAGGTGTTAACACGCAAGGAAAGTTTCCATAAATTAGAAAGGATCCATCATTTTAAATGTATTCCAATCATAATTCAATAAGATTTGAAATGAAAACAAAAGTATAACTTAAATATTCCATCTATTTAGAAAACAAATATCATTTTGGTAAATAACCCTGGGGCTAAAAAGGAAATTACAAAATATTTTAACTAAATGACATAAAAATATTATAAGTCAAAATTTGTAGGCAACAACTTAATAGCTAGAGAAATGTAACCTCGTATATATTTATCAGAAAGGAAGAAAATTTAAAAACAAGCTAAGCAGTCAACTAAAAAAAGTGAGAAAAAAGAAACAACAGGGAAAATTCAAAGAAACAGGAATGAAATAGGTAATAAAAATAAGGGCAGAATAAATTTTTAAAAGAGAAAAAGGGAGAACATATTAACAAAACCAAATGTTTGTTCTTTCAAAATGTTATTAAGCACTGGCAATACTGATTTTAAAGGTCAGAGGGAAGATAAAGATAAATAAGGTATAGACTGAAAAAGGTTAGACCATCAAAAACAAGAGATTTAAAAAGTGGGTTTTTTTTTAAATTATTATGGATAAAACTGATGAACAAAAATAAATCCAGAGACAAATGGCAAGGGGGCGATGTTTGTTCTTTCAAAATGTTATTAAGCACTGGCAATACTGATTTTAAAGGTCAGAGGGAAGATAAAGATAAATAAGGTATAGACTGAAAAAGGTTAGACCATCAAAAACAAGAGATTTAAAAAGTGGGTTTTTTTTTAAATTATTATGGATAAAACTGATGAACAAAAATAAATCCAGAGACAAATGGCAAGGGGGCGGGGGTTAGAGATCAACCAAAGGACTTGTAT